TCGATTTTGAATCTCAGATATCAAGACATATTGAACAAATTTACATAACTAAGGGAATACAGTACTATTATGTTACAGAGCACAAGATACGTTTAATTGAAATTTAACATCTTCAAAAATTGTGTTAATAAATACCTTTAATTTTAAGAACAGTCAGTCATAGTTTAATTTAACTCAGAACTGTCAAATGGTTGAGTCAGCGTTGCATGCTACAGGATACCTTCGACAAAAACGTGACCAGTGCCAAGTGCTAATTTTGATTATTTACAGAGAAAAGATTAAACTCAATTAACATTCATAATTCATTTCAAAAGAATAGCAATTTTGAGTTGGTGTTTCTTGAAAAGATATCCTTTATATAGAGTGATTGACCCGAGGGGTTTACTGTAGGGGTTGTTGTTACTGATAAAACAAAACATGGATTTATGCAAGAATGAAATGCATTCGTCACCTTATAATTTCCAGGCCAGTTTTCCTCCACACACTCGTACCAGTTTAGCTGTAAATAATATAGACCTAATTGTATATGCTTTGTTATTGCGATATCTGTACTTGAGCAAAATATGCGATTCAACCGATATAGGCCTATGTTGTTTTTTTTTCTGTCGCATTTGGTGCAAATTGGTGCTATATAGTGTACTAATCATAACTATCTGACTGATGTTTGGTAACTTACTGTTAGCATCACGTTAAATTATTTGTTTATTTACACAAGTCAATAGAGATATCTTACTACATTTAATTATTTGACCTCAAGTTTCGCTATCCTTATTCGAAATTCATTTACGTTTCCTGTAGTAAATGTTGACAATAATTATAGGTATTCGTCAATACGTCACATTAAACAATTTTGTTCTTGTTTTAAATCGTTAGTTCCGTCATTGAGGAATTTGTTTAGACTAAGAAGTCTAAACTAATTCCTCCATGGTCCATAAAACTATGTGCACGTTAAAAAAAACTCAAATAAATTCCACGTTTGGTAGTTCAAGGAATAAAACAGCCTCATGTCTTACAATTGATGATAATGGTGCTGCATAAAGGTCAAAATATGTCTTGCATATTAAGTTTCCCTAAACACACAACTTAGCTGTGTGTAGGGGCAAGTTCCCACTAAATTACAAATATGGTGCAATTAAAGTGACCACTTTGCGAATTCACATGGTTTCCTTGACGATTACGTTATCTTTTTGTGGCAGTGTGATTAAGATTGTTAGTATTTGTCTTACTTCTGACCTTTTACTGTACATGTGTCAGGCGATGCAGCTTTGTTAATTTTTCATTTTTACCTGCATGGATAACTTTAGTTTCAATTTCACCAGTTTTAGCTATGTCATTATCTTTTGAAGCCTTATAATTTTCTAATTTCTTAGACTTTACTGCTATTTTATCATCTGCATTCAAATTTGTGTGATTCAGATTTTTTTTCGGACGAGGAGTCTTCAGATACTTTAGCGCATTCCTTCATTATTTTAACAATTGAAGTGCTTGGTAGATTATCGTTATTTTCTAATATTTTGGGTCTCATAATTTTTCATTAAGTTCACACTCCTTGTCAACAAAATTATTTATTCTATCATCGCTACTTTCCTGCGTTTCAGTTGCCTTGTTCACATTATCTTATTCCTTAGCCATGGATATTTTAACGAAATTCCACATGTTCATCGGTTCTCGCTTTTAATAACTTCCTCAAATTTTACGTTTTATTCGTTTGTTGATTTACTTCTGCGGCTAATGACAAATTTTCTAGTCCATCTTTAGTTTCCACATTTACTTCAGCGGTATTAATATACGGACGAATATCGTAATACCAATTTCCTGCGGTTACGTCATCGGAATTATCCGAATAGAATCCGTCAGAATCCGAGTCCTCCGAAGATGTTGACGAATTGTTATTGTAATTGGCAATACCGCCATTTGGAAGTTGAGCAAGGGTTGAGTTATTCGCAAGAGGTCTCTGCAGTGTGGAGGCTTTTGTCTGTAGATCATTAGGTACTTCTCCGTTAGCAATCTGCTTCAATGTAAGCTTAGGAGACGGTTGCTTTGTCGTCTCAGTGTGTATGTTCGTGCACCTTTCAAGCGTTGCGTTCTTCTGCCTTCGCCGCCGCCTTGGAGGTATAGGCGGAGAGCTTTCTTCGCTACTAAACGAACAGGTAGTTGATGCAATCGATATAGGTGATCCTGGTGGGGAGTTGAAACGGTTCTCCTTGTTAGAATATATTGTCTCCACAGAACCAGTCTTATATTTAGCCTGAAGCATTGGTGACAGTTTTGGAGGATATTTTGGTCGAGGTGGTGAGGGTTTAGGGGTGATTAGTACCGCTCCCTTGAAAGCACGTTCTTCTTTTGGCGATGTTGATGAACCTGAACCGTTGCCTGGTGATGCTTTTATTGTTCCAGTTTTAGAACTTTCCGAGAACCTATCGTCTTCTGGTACTGACGTCACTGTGCTAACAGTGCTAGTTGAAGACGCAATTGATGGCGAATACTCAAGTTGCCTCCTGTCTGATGAAGTTGGAGATGTTGATGCCGGAGGCGGTGGTGCCCGACGTTTCTTTAGCACTGGTTTACCAACAGTTGGAGTTCTAGGTTGTTTAGTTGTGCACTTCTGTAAAGTAGGACTTTCCTGATGGTATGCCTTTACTCCGTTAGTATCCTTTGGTCGTACATCTCTAACTAGCGTATCACTTCCTCCACTTTGTTCAGACGCAGTATCTTTTTCACTCTTAATGGCGTCCTCATCCGACTGGGAGGAACTCGACTCAGAAATCGTCCCAAGCCTGGCTAGGTCCTCAGGTGTAATGTCAAAGATCATGGACGAAGTTATTGATCTTCGTCTCGAAACCCTAGTATGTCTGTTCATTGTGACCTGCTCAAGAATTTTTGCGATTAACTGTTTTCCCCGATTAGTATAAAGAATAAGTTCACATTCACCGTACTTGCACCTCCTAAAAGAAACAAAATAATTACTATCATTATCATTTTAAAATGTAAAAAAAATACTGACTTTATATAACAACAAATAAAAAAGTAATTATTCAAACTTACTTAGTATGTATATCATTAAAAATACTTGGACTTTCATTTATTTAAAATAATATTGCTCTAAAGACCACAAAAGGTTGCCATGGAAAAGACTATGCCTAAAATACATCTCTATTACAGTTTCAAACCCCTATCATTTGTATTTACTTGATCAATCCTAGATATGCATCGCTTATTTTATACGTCACTCATCTGTTAGTACTTGAGGGATTACAATAATGGAATTAAATCTTACGCATTGGTTGATATGTGTAATATCTTGTCGGTATCCTTTTCGTGACATTTCTTCGTCAGCATGAAACGCTTAAGGTTTGCTAGTTTTAGTTGGAGGACGACCGCTGATCTTGAATTGTAAAGACACAAATGAGGGCTGTCGGTAGTCAGTCGATAGTTTTCATATAATTCCAGTCTTTCGGAATGATCATTCGGTATAATGGAAATGTTGAAAACATCATCTGTATAAAGTGGAAGACAATAATTGTAAATATTTCTTAGTTACTAAAACATATGACAAATTACAATCGCGTAAAGTAAATTGTCTATTATTACTGTTATAGTCTAATGCCAGTATTTGTTTTATGTTACATGTATAGAGCGCATCTCTTTGCGGTTACGTAGCGCTAAACTTTCCTCTGGATCCCTAAGCCATTTGACAAGCTTGCACGCATACAAACCTAACTAAACGACTAGACTAGACGCTCATAGTAAAATGACAAAAGTAGAGTCTTCATCCGTTTCGAATGTTTGAAATAATGATTTATTAATATTAATAATATTTTCCAACAATGCCGTAATTCCACACTTTTTTTTCTAACTTACCATCCTCAGATTCAGCTGGTGGCGGCTCTCTTTTAACTGGCTTCTTAACCATAAATTTCCTAAGCATAGCAACCCATTCTATGGCGTCGGTCTCACTATCTGCGGCCAGATAGAGTTGTCGTCTCGGTGAGAGAACTGCAAAAGCATGTCGGTTAGTTTTTGATGTACATCTTTTAACAGACGTGATGTCGTTGAGTAGGACGCATGCCACCTGCTTGTACGTGAATTCATCCTGGTACAACTCAAAGAGAAGAGATATTCCTGATGTACACGCGTTCTGATGAACTGCGACAAATTTTCGCCTCCATGGCTGTGGAAAAATAAATAACAAATAGCAATTATACGGAAATCGTTTAAACATCTAAATTAATTACAGATATAGAGGTCAATATGAAGTATATTACATGTACTTTAGGAAAATGACACAAGTGTAAACCATCATTACAGTAGTAGTTAAGAAATCATAACTACGGACAAAGAGACTAATATAAATTACATTTCATGTACTATATTACATGCATTGACCATCACTGCAAAGGAATGTAAGATTAGAATATATACTTTTTTAAATATCTTAATAAAAGAAGTTGTTATAGCCTGATGTTGTTCGTTTAGTCTACTCTACTCTATTTTAGATATACTATTGTAATGGTGTAATATTCAACATTAAATTATGAAACTATCTAAATAAACGTTCCCTTTTTTCGCACAATATTTCGTTTCTTAGATTACGCACGATTACCCGACCATGTCTACATAACCGCTGCTGTTCTTCAACCATAGAGAAAAGACTACTTTATCATAGCTCTGCTTTCAACTCAAACTGACGTAATCAAAAAAATGCAAGCATCATCATATTTCGCATTCATTAGATTTAAAATCGTTCGATTCTTTCACACCCCTGTGATTTAATTTAGATAATGTAGGTCAAGTGAAGATGCAAATGCATTGCTTGTTCTAAAATGCTGCACCGTATGCCGTTTTGGAATATGGTTTTGATTTTTAGTGTATGACACTCTAAAGATAACAATAACAAGTTCAACAAATGTTTTTCCCAAAAGGGATCCCTCTAGTGGCAATAAAAATATGTCGGTTGACCAGAACCCCTACTTTTCTGAGATCTTGTAGTCAAACGCGATCCAGGTGTAGACAACGCCTATGTTTTATGATTTGTCTAATTCTAAGCAAAAAGTGATATTCACACCAACGCCGATTATTATAGCGTGGCTGTAGATTAATTCGTCGTTGTGTCGCTCAACCATTTCACCTACTCAAATGTTCAAACATACAAAACCGGTGTTTTCAAAGCGTGTCAAGACACTGTAACTTTGCTAAATGTGGATACTGATCTGGTGACGGAAACCAAAGTAGGCGTATTCGAACTGCTTTCACTCAATTGTTTTATGTTAACATGTACTGACATATAAATGGTAACCTACTCGACTTTACAAACATTTAAAATTAAGAAACATTAAGATATATCATAACAAACTATAACCAACTATAGGTAAGTCTCGTGATTGGCTGTCACATCGCGCACCATTTACGTATCGATGTACGTGAGTTATTATTATTTTTATGAAAAACCGCTTCATATTTCGGTTTAAACAAATAGGCCTGTTTGAACTTAATCCAGCAGATTCATTGCTGGGTTATTCCGGAATCTAACACTTCAGTTTTTCTCTGGGTTACATTATGGTTGGACACCTATAATAGCCTCAATTAAGCAATTATTCCAGGTGATTTATGAACTGGAATTTTTCGATAAACTTCGTTCTTGACGTTTTGATCATCTCACAATTTTTTTTCATAGATTCGAGAGAGAAACATAAATGTGTTGAAGATGATAAGGAAAGCTGTGAATAATTAGACAAAACTACAGTATTCTATACGCTTACTTGAACGGCCTCCAAATCCAAGTTTCAATACTTTACTTATCAATAACGAAACAAACTATAATATTAGACATGTCTTAATGTCCTGAATTACATATTTGAAATCATTTATTAAGTTTTTAAGTTGCTGTTGGTAGAAAGTCTTGCAGAAATTAAGTATTGCTTTGGCAATCATACGTTGCTTGTTGTTCTGCAATTTCTTAAATACTAATCAATGTCAGTCTATATCCGTTCGTGTGGCTTTGTCTAGGTTGGTGATTCATCAGTGAAGTTTTTCTTTTTTCGTGAGGAAATACTAAAGTGGTTTACAAAATTATATCAATTCTCTTCAAGTGAATATGGAAATCGAACTCAAAGGATAGATAAACACATTAATTCAATCATTATTTTGTAAGCCTAGTCGTACTTTTTAAATGTGTCATATCCCCGGTACATACGGGTAATCATAAATATCTGTCACATAATTGATAATGTGGAAGAAGGAGAGGCAAAATAAAAAAAGTATTTATCTCGTCTAAAGTGTTGTTTAAGAATGATAAAGACCCCATTTAAGGCAAAATATATTTAAAAGAATATATATATTTATCTCGTCCAATGTTTTTTTAAGAAGGATAAAGACCCCATTTTCTCTCCTTACTATGGTTAGGCACACGCAGTCATTTTAGATGTATGTAAACAACAATTCACCTTGCCTACGACAATACCTGAAGCTAAAGCTTTAGGAGTTTTTGGTTTGTGCAAGTTTTTACAGACAGGTCTGTCCCACTCTCCGGCCTCCAAATGATGAGGGAGGTAAGAAACGTGACTGACCTATTTCCCCATGATAATATGCTACCTTTGCTTTGATATTCAAAAAATGCATGTTGTACTAATTAATATAATTAATGTGCACATTGAGTTCTTCCGGATTGCAAGCAACACAATTGAAAATTCAACATGCGGAAGTGTAGCAAGGTTGTATTATAAACTAATATTAAAGAATTATCACAAAGTAGCCAGGCCTAAATGATATTTATTAAGCTTTTCGATCCAGTCTACTACTTGTTCGTATAAACAATTTCATATATATCCTTTTGCGCAGTAGGTCAACACGCCTGCCCTACAGGTCAGTTTACACGATGTTAACAACCACTTTGAAATTTTGTTTTTGTTCATTATAAATTACCAGAAATTAGCCAACTTGGTTGAATCACTTATTCCTCCATGGGTGAATTGTAACGTGGCGGTCAGGTGCTGTGCTTATGGATGGCTGTAATAGGTTGGCTGGCGGTGAAATTTTGCTTCGGTTTCACATTTAATTCAAAGCATAAACCAATTCCAGACTGAGATTCATTTAAACAATTAAATATAATGGTTGTATTGTAATTCAATTACTAATCGCCTGATATTTTAAGAGTTTAAGAAGTATGTATTGCACTACATATATTTTAAATCACAAATACGAATAGAGCTATTGTATATTTCGTCACGCACTCTCTCGAGACGTGCATCCAGTTCTAGTGCACTAAAGCATACTTCATAATTATTGACCAGATCAAGTTTAAACACCATGCGCAAACAATCGACTTTAGGGTTAATAAGAACAAGAAGAGAATAGAGAAACTTTATAACAACATTCCGTGTCAATCAAGTTGTAGTACAATGAAATTACATAAATTTAGCAATAGAAAGTACTGAAAGAAATATCTTGTAGGTCTCTCAACTTTTAAGTGGAACCGCATTGCAGGGATAGGATTTATCCAGAAGTACACAACATGTTATATTCTAAATACTATAAGGTCTAGTGAGGATATTGACTCTTAACCATGTCTCCCAACTTTTAAGTGGAACCGCATTGCAGGGATAAGTTTTATCCAGAAGCACTAGGTGACGTAAAATGTTATGTTATATAGGCCTATGCTAATAACATACAGTCTAGAGATATATGATATAATATGATATTGACTACAGTGATATTTACTAGCCATTGGAAGTCACCAAATTCGAATTATCGTACTGTAGATTCGTCAGTTTAACGACGCTGCAGCGCGCTGGTATAACGTAATATAATGTTGATGTTGGAGAATTGGGAAATACACATTGATGAAGAAGTCCTTCTATTCATTAAAACACTTTGGTTAATATGACACATCCTATTAAATCTCATTTCGCCTAATCTCAACATCCATAATACAATCATCTTTTTTCTTTCACTTTACCTATCAAACATTATGATTGGTCAACTCGGGTTGGCTGTAGTTCATCACTGAAAATATCTCCAAGTGATTCTGGACACAATCTTGTATTATATCACATATGCTTTGAAAAGGTGCCGAGCATTTATAACTGCAAACATGTGTAGTACTATCTTAATAATTATATCAGTTTTAATGCTTGTCAATTAATTGACCTAGTGTGCCATTCATAATTTACGGTCATTATCACACGTGGTTGATAATGAAGATAATCTTACACCACCACCTGGTATGTTTTAATTATGTGAACTTATATATAGAAATCCATGTTTAGTAATGGCCATCGATTGTCATATTCATCAATAAATCAGAGAGGCAATTCAAATTATGTTTGTTATAAATCTGCAACAGTTTCATAACATACACAAATGTACAAAATGTTTTACACGGTAATATTGTAACATAAGAACAAATATTAACGACTTCTTGTCCATTGAAGAAAAAGAAGAAAACTTTATTTTTAAAAAAATACAAAAGATACAAGAGATTCTAACTTTATCTAGTTCGTTCGTTGTAACAAACTTGTTTAGTTTGGTATTGTTTTAAAATGCTATAACAGTCTTGTGTACACATTAAAATATTTTAGAAAGGCTACTGTATTCCCCTTTTAGTAACTACTAATTAATGTGAAATTATTAGCCAATATTTTCTAATGCAATATTTCAGAAATGCTAATACATCGTTCTCTTTTGGAGTTCCAAGGAAACAAAAAACGAACGTTTACCTTCCTCAACCTCTCTTTTCGTTAAAGTCAGGCTCCGAAGGAAAAAACATTTTGATAGCCTATGTTGTAGCACTGATTTTTCTAAGACAGAAAAAAGTTGTCTGAATAAAAACTGGGGAATGGTGAATTAGATACAGATTTTTGAATATTTAAAAATTGGGGGAAATGGGGCGTATTCGCCCTTTTTAACACTTTTCCCCCAGTTTTTATTTTTTTATTTTTATTTTTTTTTTGCTCCGGAGTTTGACTTTAATGTAATTTCGGCCAATGAAACACTTTTGTCACTGTACTTCTCCGTCTGGAACACTTAAGCCTATCTGTTCTTTAGTAAGCCATTAGGCCTATCATTATGCCTATTATTATTATTTTACATATCATTATTATTATATTATTATTATTATTATTATCATCATCATACCACCATTAATATCTTGATTTTTCAGATGAAGTCATATTTAAACATACACGCACTATAGCACAGTCACGAACGTGTGTTGAGAAGTATAATACAGTATGTTTAATT